ACATCAGACAGGCCCTAGTAAGACTGGGAGTGTCACAGACATGGCTGAGATCACCACTGACCAATGCCTTGTCCCAGGGGAATCCCCACCCAGCCCTCCTACAGAATGATCTTGGGCCCTGTTTGGGCTCAGGACAACCAGTGTTCTCCCCGACTGCTGCCCCATCTGATGGGGACGAACAGGGAGGGCAGAGGAGGGTGCAGGATGGAGCCCACGGGCCTATGTATGCTCTTCACCCAGATCCTGCAGCTGCTCGGCATGGACCTGGGGCTGAAGACTAAAGTCCCACAGGGAAAACATCTGGGGAAAGGGGTGGGAATGGAAGCCCCATTTCCAAAAGTTTCCGAAGGTCTCCTAGATGGAAGACAGCACCGAGGAGAACTCTGGCTGCAAATGTGGCAACAGTGGGCAACCCTGTCAGGCTGGTAAGACCAGCTGGTGTGGGCCCAGGAAAACCAAGGACCTAGGGGGTGAACTGAGGGCTGGAGCCGGGGAATGAAGGGCAGGGATGTCTGTTGAGGCCCAAATAGAAGGCCTGGGACGGGAAGGAGTGCCTGGATGGGAGAGATGCCGGAGTGGGAGGGGTGCTAAGCAGACTCTTGCACCAGGATAAGAAAGACAGGCATTTGGTTTACAAAGAGGACACAGGCTGGTGACAACGTAGCCTCTTCCTGCAATGGCTCTGAGCTCCAGCCTGGGAATGAGAAATGTGCCTCTGCCTCTTCCCTTCCTGGCTATCCAGGAGCTCTGGACTGGACCCAGTGGCCTCAGGTCCAACCCCTTCCCTTTTCCAAGAGAACCTCGCTCATATCTTCACTGGCAAAACAGGGGACTGGACTAGAAGCACTGTACCATCCTGCCGGGGGTTCTTCAGGAAAGAACTTCGTTTCCAAAGCTACCTCTGAGAGAGGAGCCCCACAGTTGCCCCAGGGTGATGTACATGGGACCCCGAACTTCCCTTCTGCGCTGCACAGCCCACCTCCGCTCTACACACTGTCCAAAGTGCCTGATGGATTTATTTTATATACAACTCAGGACCTCCCAGTCTCATTTCCACTGGCTAGTGGCTTGTGCTTTTCCTATCTTTCCAAAACAGCTCAGGCCTGAGTGATAGAAAACAATCCCTGAAGTCCACGCTTGAAACTTGCACCCACGCTTTGGGCCGAGATTTGGGGGTACTGCGCACCAGTGCTTTTGTAAGAAACTGTAAGATTTCATCTAAAGCATCACCCACAATTCCATTTCCTTGGCTCAGCAGAGGAAGTCAGCCCCACTGCTGCCAGGGAAATTGAGCTTCAAAGGCTTCACCTCTTTTGGAGGCGCTGTGTGCTCCCCACAGGTCTACTGGCCTGGGAACAGTTACCTGAGCCTGGGGTCACACGCATGGCACCCCCAGAGATCTCTGATAAGAGGTTCACCTGCCCTGGCATTACACATTACAGTCCTGAATCTCTTTCCACCCTCCTAAGGACATTTCACAATCTACCCTTCCCTCCAGCCTCTCATGGACGGCAGCCGGGCTTCCTTCCTATCCATTCTCAAGCTCCACTCCAGAGAGAGGATGAGAATCCTCCTCCTTTCAGCAGTTGGGGACAGGAGGGGATTGGCGAGAGGTGAGGGCTCGGCTGGCGCCATCCAGGAGTGCATAAAGGAGAGGCCCCGGCCTCCTCCCCCCTCCCTTCTAAATACACTTCTCAGTTCCCGGCGAGGACTCCTCCCTCTTCACTTCCTCCAGCAGTTCCCTAAGGAGGGAGTGGGAGCTCCTGAACGCGGAAACCGAGGTGCTGGTCTAGACTGCGTAGTCGCCTTTAGTCATAGTGATCAATGCCCTTCCCTGGGCTATCCCAAGCTACGGAGCTACTTCCCCCGGCTCAACCGGTCTGTGACAAACTAAGGAGGCTCAAGGTGCTGGAGTAGGCGTTCCGCCCCAGCCGAGTCCGACACATGGATGGTTCCAAGGGCCGGCCCGCAGCCGGGACCCACAGGGAGCTACGCTGAACGCCGACCCTTGATACTGCCACTTACCGGGGAGGGGCGGGATGCCCGCGACCGCCCCCACCCCCCCCCCGCCGGCGGGGGGCGCGGCCAGCACCCGCCCCCCCCCGCCACCGGCGGCTCCTAGCTCCCACCTGATCCCGGCGCGGCCTGCGCACCAGCGAGGTGCGCGCAGTGAAGTACTGCTCGAGCTCCGAGTCCGAGTCCTCCTGGCTGCAGTAGCCACTGCTCGTCGTGCTGCTCCAGGTCATCTCGAAAGAAGGCGTCTCCGCCTCGCCCATCGCCGCGCCCGCCCGGTCCCCGGCTCCCGTGTGTCGGCGGCTTCCTACCACCACCCCGTGCGCGTGCGTATGTGCGTGAGCGCGTGCGCAGAGACCAGCGCCGCGCGGCAACCGTTAAGACTGAAACGTGGGCAGCCAGGATCTAGCTCTCGTCTCATTGGGGGAGGAGCGTTCGGAGGCGGGGACACACACGCTCGCCTCTAGTAATGACTTCATCGCCCAGGCATCCTCGCAGGCCCCACCTCCCGCAGGGCACGTCTCAGAGCGTGTGCGCATGTGCACCAACATCGCCTCAGGACCGGAAGCGGGTGTGGCAAGTGCGCGTGCGCAGCGCTTAGGCGAGGCTAGGAAGTGGTTGGCTTGTGGCCTGGGGGGTCTGCGCGAAGTCTGCGTCCGGAGCACTCATCAGTGCTCGCTGCACGAATTAGCCCCTGTAGGCTGCGGGGATATAGGCTTTTGGATCGCTCGATGCGCGCAGTACCCCGAGGCTCTTGGGAAGGCCCGGGCAGTGGCCCGCCCGCCCGCGGGGCCCCGTTCTGCCCGTCCGCCCCTGATCCTGGTGCTCACCACGTTAGTGTCCCGCTCCAGCGCGGGTTCCCAACCGAGGTCCCGAGGCCCGCAGCAGTCCAGGCAGACGAGTGCGCGGCAGCGGTAGTGGCAGGTGAACTTGCAGTCTGCAGAGAGGTCTGGCGGTGAGGCGGAGGAGCCCCGGGCACTGAAGGGCAACCCCGAGATGAGGACCGTTGCTCGTCAGCACTGCAGGACCGGGCACGGTCCCTTCCGTTGCTACACAGACTGTTGGTCCTGGGGCGCCTGCAAACTGGCTGGAAGCCTTCCCGCAGTTAAGGACCCAGGCCTGCTCCGCGGTTCCCTCTTCCTTCCCACTTACTCGAAGGAAAAAACGAAGCCTCCACCCTTTCTCCACCTCTAGTTGTCATCCATCTCTACTTCCCTCAGTCGGAAACACTGGTCTATACACACTTAAATTCCTTGCCCTGGCTGTCTCCTCTACTTCCTGCAGTCTGTCTGCTCTACCCTCCAAGAAGCAGCCCTGGTCAGGTCGTCAGCCATCTGTGTATGGCCAGCGGCCTCCAGTGCTCCATCCTCAATTCTCACCCTCAGCAGCATCAATCATCGTTGGATGCTTTGTCCCCTAGACTCTCAGGGGCCACCCTCACCTGGCCTTCCTCCCTTCTCCCTGCAGCTCCTGCTCAGCTCCTTTGCTCATGCTGTTGCTCCCTCCAGATCTAATGATGACTGGAACTCAGCCCTGATTCCTGCCCTGCTCTGTCTACACTCACCTGGCCCAGGTTTAAGGCTGGGGCACTGGCTCCCCCTCAGGGAACATCCTCATGCCAGTAACTTCCCTTGGCTGTCTGCTAGACATTTCAAGTGAATGTGGTCAAAATTAACTCACTTTTCTCTCCCCTCCCCTTTGTCTGAACAGGGTTCCTCACCTCAGCAAAAAATTGCAACTCTTTCCTCAGTTATTTGAAACAATTTTTTCCTCAGTTATTTGAAACAAACACCCACACTTAATCCTTGATCCCACCTTTCTTACACCGATTGCCCTGTTCCTCTTTTCAATGGCCACTTTATTTTCCCTTGAGAACATTGCCATGACCCATCTTTGTTCATGCTTTGTGGGTGTTTTGTTTTGCTATAGGGCATGTGTGCTCCCGAGAGAGAGAGACAGAGAGACAGAGAGAGGCAGAGAGAGAGCAAGCATGGGAAAACGAGCAATCATTCCCTGGGGAAATAGCCATGCTGCAATCCCTTCTCCACTTTCCTCTTGTAATTTTAGGCACACATACACTCCTGGCATGTTTTTCAAGCTGGTGGTCCGGGACTTGAAACATGCAATCAGTCATGTGGGATCTGGGCACCTTAACCTCCAAGCCACCTGCTGGCCCCTATGTTTTGAATTCTGTCAGCTCCTGTGCTTCCCTCCAGGTGAGCTGGTGAGTTGGTGACATGCTCCTGTTCTGCATGACAGGGGCTGCATCCCTGAGTTCACAAATGACCTAGAACAGCGAGGCTCTGCCTAGGCTGCGCGGGACTGTGATCTGGGGAGTGGAGCAAAATCAGTGCTACTGAGGCCCACTGCCAGCCGCTGTTTCCGCAGATGTGAGGGATCCAGGCACAGGACGGGGGTTGGAGAGCTGTGAAAGTGCCCCAGGTGACTCTAGCTGGGGTACAGCCAGTGGAGAGGAGGAGAGGAACCTCTGCTTGATGGTGATGCTCAGGAGGGCAGAGGGATGGCTGGGTATGCACCTTCCATGTTTCAGCATCTGCCTCATTACCTGAACAGGCTCTGCTAAATAGCCTCACCAAGATTTCTGTTTGCAGGGTACCCATCCAAGGTTCTTTCTCCAGGTCCCCTCCCTAGGTGGGTAACTTCCCTTCACCCCTGGGACTCTGGAGGGGGACACAGTGAATGAATCTGGGAAGAGGCGGGCCTGGGAATATGGGCTCAGAGGGGAGTTAGCACAAAGTCCTTCTCAAGAAGGACCAAGGCGCTTTAAAGAAACTTGAAATCAGCGCCTTGTTATTCACAGGCGACTGCCTCTGCTCAACTGTGCCACAGACGCAGATGGAGAGCAGCAGGGCATAACCCATCTTCCCACATTCTCTTCCGCGATGGGGCAGAGGGAACTGGTCGGTGAAGAACATCCCCGCTGACCGCCTCCGCCACGACTTGACTGACAGCGTCAGCGCTACCCCCTGGCCGCCCACTTCGCTCTCGCCAGCACGCGGGGCAGCTACTCACGCGCGCACTGCAGGCCCTTACGCACGACGCCCCAGATGAAGTCGCCGCAGAGGTCGCACCACGTGTGCGTGGCGGGCCCCGCAGGCTGGAAGCGGTGGCCACGGCCGGGGACCAGCTGCCCTGCGGGGTTGCGCGCGGTGCCCGGCGTGATGCGCAGCGCGTTGGGTCGCGGGGCGGGCTCTGACTTTGGCTCCGCCCCCAGAACCGAGGCAGGGCGGCGGGAAAGGGCTCGGGAGAGTTTTGCAATGGAAACATGGGGGCTCGGGAGATTTTTGCAATGGAAACTTGGGCGCGGGGGCTGATTCTACAGGCTGGGCGGACCCGGCGGGGGCTGGGGCACGTTCGCCTTTTCCCTCATCTCTACCATCCACTCCCCTCAACGACGAGGACCGCAAAGGTTCACACCGAGACAGACGTGTTTCTGGAGGTCAGCTTTACTGTGGTAGAGGAAGAGGGTCCCACATCCGGCCCTAGCCTCCGCCCAGGCCTCCTGCCCCAGTTTGCAGAGACAGCGCTCTCTGCTTACCCAGCGCCGCTCCGCTCCGCTCCGGGGTAGAGCAGGAAGTGGGGAGCCCTGGGGGTGGGGAGGGAGAAGCCATCCTCTTCACAGGCCCCGGAGAGGAAACTGGGGCTCTGGCTAAGATGGATGGGGGCGTGAAGTTCAAAGGCACATTCGGGGTGGGTTTTCTTGGCATGAGTGGGTTGCTTCGCAGCACCTGCAGCCCTCACTTAGCCCTGTCACCCTGGGCTGCCACGACACAAGCCTTTCCATGCTTCTGCCAGTGCTTGACCTGGCACTCCCTGCAGACAGGTGGGCGGTGGAGATGTCAGCGCTTGCGGGGAGTAGGGGCGGACCCGAAGGCTTGGGGCGGGACTTAGGTGTCCGCGGTCCTAGGATGCCCTCACCTGCAGCAATACCACTCTTTCTGGCAACGCGAGCAGCGCTTGGATGCCTCCACGCCGCAGTGGGCACAGCGGGGTCGCTCTGGAGCCACCGCCTCTAGCACGTCCAGTCTGTAGGTCTCAGCCCACCTGGGGAAGGCGCAGGAAGACCCCACTGGGCTTGGCAGGTGAGGGTACAAGAGTCTCCTGTACCCCCAGTTGCCCCTCTGCCAGCTCGCAGGACTCACCTCTGTGCCTGCAGCCGCAGGTCCTGCTCTGAAGGGCTGAACACGTGCCGGAGCTGGTGCTTGGCAATAGCCTGCCACTTGCCTCTGTTCTCTCGCTCCAGCCGCTCCCAGATTTCTGGGATCTAAGGGAGGGAAGTACAGCGTGGCAGGAAGGTGCTAAGGAAGTGGATAGTGGTCCTGAGAACCTAACTCTCCAGTACCTACCTGCTCCAACACCAGGTCCTTCTTAGGGGACTGGGTTTCTGCCAGGGCCAGCTGGGCCAGAAAACGCTGCAGGTCTGCCAGGTTGGGCAGCTGGTCAAGTAGTATGTCCGTGAGGAAGGCCCGAAGCTGCAAAGGTGTCCAGAAGGCCCGTGTGAAGCAGTTGCTGGCCACAGCCAAGGCACAGGGAGGGTCTCACTGGACTGAGGGTGCCTAGGGGCCCTACGTCCCCCTGGCTGCTGTATCACCTGAGGCTCAAGGTCTGGAAAGAGGACTGGGGCTGAGGTGGGCAGGCAGAGATCAGCAGCAGGGGTGAGTGACCTAGGATAGGCTGGGGCTGTGGGGCTCGCGTGGGGAGCACCCACCTTGAGTAGCTGGCCCTTGACAAAGTTTGTAAGGTGGTAGCGGGCCTGGGCCTCAGGGCTTAGCAGCAGGTTATAGAGCGCGATCCACACCTGGCCGTCCAACTTGCTCAGCTTTTGTTGTTCGGAGGTGGCCACTGTCTGCCAACGGCCACCCTCGAATTGCTGCAGCTTGCCTGGGAAGAGGAATGGCACTCTGGGTGCGGCACTGCGTTCTCTCCGAGTGAGCCAGCCGTGTGGGCTGGAGGGCAAGCGCTGCCTGGGCATGGTGGAAGACCCTCGGCCACAAGCTTTACCCAGGCCATGTGCTGCTGGCCCCAGAGTAGGGCACGTCCTCATACAGGCCCTGCTTGCCGCAGAACCAGGTCTTGGGCCACCTTGGGTAGGCTGGTTGGTGCGCCTGAGTGCAGGCTGTGCACCCCTCAATCCCGAAGGGAGTCCTGGAAGCAGTAGGCTTCCAGCAGATGGAAGACCTTACCTCCTTCCCGCCGAGTCCAGGGACTGTGTTCTAGCAGTTCCACCAGGAGGCAGGGCAAGTTATGGGTGCTGAGCATGCGGCTCAGGGTGCTCAGAGAAAGGCTGGGGCAGCAGAGGTGGGGTGGGGTGAGCAGAGGCTCTGGGCCCCGTTTTCCAGCCCTCCACTGTAGGCCCAGGCCTGCATAGCTGCCCACCTGTCCATGCAGTCTGTGATGTAGCGCAGTACTGAGAGGGCCTTCAGGGCGATCTCGAATTCCATCAGCTCTGCCTGTTTTTGCAGCTCCTGGGAGGCCAACTGTGTCCAAACGGGCCTGGAGAACCTGGACCTAGGCCTTGCCCATCTCAGGGACCCTTAACCCACCTGCATTGGGGTGCAGTCCTGTGACCCCGCCTCCTCAGGGGGGCCACCCCGGCCACTCCGGGCCACCAACAGAGTCAGTTTGCGGTGGCAATAGTCTACCAAATCCAAGACAGCATCCTCTGCTGACTCACACACCTCCTGGGGAGCAGGGGAGGCCAAACTTTCTCTGGTGCCCTCCCCACCCAGACACCATTTCCCTTCCTGCCAGACCCTGGCTTGGAGCAGCCGCCCATGGGCATGGTTGGTCTGGTTGGTCCTTACCTTGTGGAAGAAAACCGTCTCCAGGAGGTTGATGATGGAGGCCTCATGGTGTACCTATCAGACACAGGAGGACAGGGCCACCCACTCTCCTCCCCAGTCCAGGGCCCTCTGAAGGGGAAGGAGGAGGTGTGAGCCAGGGCCCCGCTCACCACCATGTATATGGGGAAGGTGTTCTGGGGCTTGAAGTCTTCCAGCCTGCACAGCACGGGGAACACCTTCTGCTTCCACATCTCCACTGCAATGAGCTCCTCCACCAGTGCTGGGATCTTGGACGTGGAGGAGTGGGGCAGGACAGGAATGCAAAAGGCCTCATGAATACTCTTCCCAACTTCTTTTCTGCACTTTTTTTTTTTTAATTGCTAGAGGTGTGCACACTCAATAGAGAGAGAAGGAGGGAGAAAGTGCCCTCCATGGGGCATGGTCGTGATGCAATTCTGTTTCTCCTTCTCGTCAGGATTCTGGGCATGGACACTCGGAAACCCAGGGTGTTTTCCCAGCTGCCGGCAATGGGGTTCAAACTGCAACCGTCCATGTGAGATCTAGCTCCTTTCACCACTTGGTTAGGGGGTGACCCGCTTCTACACCTTAGGCTTTCACTGCTTCTTCTTTGTGTGTGTGTTTCAGTTTTGCTACAGGACACATGTTCTTGCCGGGGGTGGAAGAAGAGAAAAAAAGCACTCCCTTCAAGGGGGATAGCCACACTGCAATCCCTTCTTCATTCTCCTCTTGGGATTTTGGGTACACACCAACACACGCCTGGTGTGTGTTTCAAGCAGCCAGGTCTAGGACTTGAACCATGCTGTTAGCCATGTGGGATCCAGCCGCCTTAACCTGCATGCCATGGATTGGCCCTAGACCTTTATGCCTAGATGCCCCCAACATCTCTGTGGGGACATCCCCTGCTCCCTGTGACTCCTCTACAGACCGCTTTGGTCCCTGCACCTGTATCCATATCCCCCCATCACCCAGCAGGCTGCCCTTCCAAGCCAGCCCTCCTGTTCTCGGCCTCCCTCTGTCCCTGTCCTCTGACCTGCCAAAGCTCTGTGTGCCTTGGCCTCAGCCTTGCCCCGGGCCTTGCAGTGCTCTGGCCCCACTCCAGCTCCTAAGAGCAGGCTCCCCCTTTTTCCTTACAGAAGACTCTCTGTCATGTGCAACTCAGGTGGCCCACTGGGGCCAGCTCCAGCCGGGCACCTCTCTGGTTTCTAATGCCCTGTCTCAGGTTGGGAAGGCTGGCTTCTTCCATGCCAAGGCCCACTCCCACTTCAGTACCTCCCCTGGGCTTTCAATTCCATAACGCCTTTGGCACTTGGACCTTCCCGCCCCCTAGGTGCTCGGGGACCCACGCTGTTTTCCTGGCCAACATGTGACCTGCATGGTCACAAAACAAAAAATGTCATGGAGGGTGGCACCTGCAGTCCTGAGGGGTAGCGAGGTGAGGTGTGGGGAGGGAAGACAGGAGTGTTCTTGTGACCCGGTACCTTCCGGTGGGTGACCAGCAGCTCCTGAATGGGCTCGCCCTGGCTGACGCTGGCGTCCAGGATGGCTTGCATGTTCAGCTTCTCCAGGTGCTCGTGCTGCTGGCTCCACCTGCCCCAGACGGTGTGCGTTTGTGCGGGCCAGGAGCGAGTATGCGGGCTGATCCTGCTCCCCCTAACCCGCTCCTGAGAGGCCAGAGGGGCTCGGGAGCCACATTCTCCTACCTCGCAGGGCTTTGCCTCCCACATGGGGGCCCCTCCCCCCAATGTCGGGTCCAGCGGCTGCACTCGAGGACTCAGACCCCGCGACTCCGCCTGTGCAACTGCCTCACCCTTCTGAGCCCATCTCACGGATCGGGAAGCTGTGCAGACCCTGCACCAGCACTTCGGCCTCCCCCGGCAGCAGCAGCTCCAGGTCACCCATGTCGGGGCCAGCGTCCGACTGACCTCGGCGAGTGGCCGAGATGGGGGTGCCGATACACTCGGGGACGACGGACTCTGGCGGGACCAAAGCCTGAGACAGGACTGTTGTAGCGCAGTTGGGGCGCGCGGGTCCTCGGCGCCATGGAAACCAGCAAGCCTCGCGCCTGCGCAATGCGGCCTGGGCCCCGCCCCCGCTTGCAGCGGGCGCAGTGTCCCGCCCTCCCTACCCGATGCCAATAGTAACTTGACTCAGATTTCTAGCGCTTTTCCCCTCACACCCGTAGCGAGTCCCCCCATCCCCAGCTCCAGATTCCCGTGGCCTCCACTTGCTTCTCAGACAGCGGTCGGCCTGCACAGTGCCACATAAATACTAGGTCCGAAGAGGCTTATCAATGCAGCTTTGTGGGATCTACCTCCTGCCCTCGCTCCTATTTTGGGACTTAGATGCTTGCTAGTCCGCCCCTTAGCGTCCATGTTCCAGCCCCGTGGACCTCCCTCGGGTCCTCATACATCCCAAGGCAGCTCTCGCCTCAGGGCTTTGCACTCGTTTCCTCGCCTGGAATACTTCTCCTTATTCAGAGCTCAGCTTAAATCACGTAGCCAGGCCTGTCTTGTCCATCTGATCTGCAGCCGTCCCTGCTCCCATCCCAACTCACTCTTCACATCCTGATCGTTTTTCCTGCAGTTCACAGTTTACAGTCAGCCTGCAGCTCTACTTGGCCAGAGCCGGTCCTGCCCACTAGATGGCGCTCCAGCACGCCAGGACCGTGGCTGGCTGTCCTCCGCTGGGTCTCTAGCGGCAGGCTCAGAGGCAGTACTCAACAACGGCAGGTTGAAACGGATGACTTTATTTACAGAACCGAGGGTCAACCTGCTGGCCTAGCCCCCAGGTACCAGGCAAGGCTTAGCGGAGGGAGCAGCATGCCCCGTTCTGCCACTGCCAGCCTCACTTCCAGCAGATAATGATGTTGGGGTCGTTTTCAAGCCGCTCATCCAGCTCGTGGTAGCTCATGCCTGGATTGGGTGTGGAGGTGAGATCAGTGGTCGTGGCTCAGCCCCGTGGCCTGACCTCACCCTGCCTGCCCCTCCTGCCTGCACCTGTCTTGCAGCAGATCTCGTCGTAGCTGTGGCAGCCTGTGTAAAGCCGGGCAGGGTGGCTCCTCTCCTCCCGAGACACCCGAACGGGGTACTTCTGCAGTCGCCGGATGAGGTTCTTCATAAGCCCAAACTGGATCAACTTCCTGGAGTGAAGGTCCGGGAAGAGACAGCTGATGCCAATTTTACCCCTCCCCCTTTAATTTCGTCTCAGTGGCCATCATCTCCAGGAAGCCTGCCTGGACTAGCAGTGCCATGTGCTTCTGCTCACTAGAAATCTGCTTTCTCTCTGACCCAGGGCTCTGGAGAGACAAACAAACCCCTCATGTCCCAGGGAGACACCCTCTGACCTTTCATCCACGTGCTGCAGCTGCTGGGGGTGGCGGCCGATGAGGTCCCGTACAGTGGTGCCAGGGCTCAGGCTGCAGTACAACTGGAACACATCCCGCAGACTGGCCCTCTTGTGCCCTATGAGTGCCAGGGGTCAGCTTGCCAGCTGGGCCCGCCTTCCCCAGATGACCTCCAGCAGAGCCCACCACTACCTTGCTTGGTCACGTAGGATAGACACGCCTCCTGCAGGGACTTGTCATCTATCAGGTCCTGGACCTTGGGTGTTGGGCAGTAGACGTTGGAGTACTGGAGGGGAGCAGAGGGCAACAGGGGCCTGCGTGAGGGGCTGGGGGTGCTGACACAGCCCTAGTCTGGCCCATACCCCAGACTCACTTACCTGGAGGATGGACACCAGTGTCACGACGCCATAGTACCTGGGAGAAAGAGATGTGCTCAGCTCCCGAGGACCACGCCTTCCCAGGCCCAGTTTGTGGGCTCCCCCACCCTGCGGCTTTTTCCTGACTGGCACCCCCGCCCGGGGCGTGACTGCAGCCCCACTCACAGCAGGTTCTGGATAGCAATGCGCACCAGGTTGAGCTCCACATCTGCCTCAGCCGAGATCTTCTGGACGTGGCGAAAGCCATCGATGTAGGGCAGGATCTGGGTAGAGGAGGGCAGGCTCAGTGGAGGGGGCAAGAGGCCAGGGCTGTGGCTAGCCCTAGGTGAGGATACCCAGGGGACAGTGCACACCTGCTGTGTGGTGAGGTCCCACTGAGAGTTGAAGAAATCCTCCTTGTCCTTGGTAAAGACAGGTACGTCATACTCCTGGGCCACAGGAGGGTCTGGCCGCTGCTCAATCACCTTCAGGTGGATGGTGTTGGACTCATCTGGAGGGGTCCCATCCATTTGTCAGTGCCATCCCTTGCCATCCAGGCCTCCCAGCATCCTTGGAAGCAGGCAGGTGGCTCTGGGTAGGGTCAGTGCCCCTCTCTTGTGGAGCGGGAAACTGAGGTCTACAGAGGGGAAGGAATGTGCCCCAGAGCAAGCAGGAGTACTCTGGTGCCCACCCACTGCCAGCCCCATCATGCATGGGACCCCGGCTCCCAACACCCCAGCTCATGGCTATTTTCTGGCCAGCAGCTTGTTTGTGAGTCTTGTCCTCCTCCCCTGGTGGCTGGGCTCCCCCTCCTCTACCACCTTCCCACCCTTCACCCCCTCTGCCGTCCAGAGGCTGGACTGTACCGATGGGTAGTGTGCAGCGGCCGGAAGCATTCAGCTCCTCCAGCAGGATGGTCATGATGGGCACCAGCTTCTGCTTGCTCTCCTCTGAGGACACGAAGCTGCTTTCCAGCTGGACAGAGCGGGCACGGACAGCATGGTGGGCTGTCTGGGTCCTGAGCCAGCAGAGGCCCAGGGTGGGGTCGGGGGTGCTCTGGACACAAGGGTACATGTTTCCCAGCTCTGCCTGCCCACACGCCCATGCCCATCTCACTGCAGACCTCCAGCGTAGTCAGGTAGCCGGCCAGCTTCTTAACGATGGGTTCCAGGGCACAGGTCTTGGCCTGGGCATCGCACACGAAGCCCAGGTTGAAGAGGAGGGCGTTGCGGCTGTACTTCTTGTGTTCGATGCACACAGGGCAGCCAATCAGCTTCTTATCCATGGCAGTGCTGGATGGTCAGAACAGAGTCAGTCTGCCCCCAAGCCTGTCCCCTCCCCGGCCCCTCCCCCCAGCCAGGGCCTCACACAGTGATGAGCTTGTTCTGCAGCTCTGGCTTGGTGATGATGTACACCTGGACCGTGTCAAACAGCTCCCTGGAGATGAAGTCCTCAGGGACCTAGGGAAGGGAGCAGAGGACACTGGGACTGAGCGGAGGACAGAGGGTGACTCCCCAGGTCCCAAGCCCCCTTCTCTAGCATATCCCTTTCCCATCCACTCAGGCCTGCGATTGCTTGGTGTTTCCAAACACACTCTGTACTCACCTGCTTCCGGACTTCTGCATATGCTGTTCGCCCTACCTAGGACACTTCCCTCATCTAACTTTCTATGCATCATTTAGGTCTCGACTCAACGGAGGGATGCTCGTGGGCTATTCACCCCACCTCTTGTGGGACCTGCTACTTCCACTGGGCTCGTACAGCCGGATTCCCCACAAACAATGCCAATGTGACATGTCTCCCCTGCCACCCTGGGAGCTAGGGGTCTGGGTCCCAGTATCCTCTCAATACACCGTTGTCCACAAATGGAGTGGCATGCCTGCCTGCAGCACGGAGACCCACTACCTCCAGAGAACCTTCCTCTCCCCACCTAGTCCCACGAGCCTAGGTCGTACCTGATAGGTGATTTTAGGTCCCAGCGTGGGGTGGAACTCGCTGAAAAATATACATTCGATACGGCAGCTGCTGCCCATGGTGCTAGCAGGGCCCGGGTCCGCAGTTCTTCTTCTCTTATCCGCGGAGGCGCCCCCACCCAAGGGAACACCTGTCAGAGACAGTCGGAGGCCCGGCGCACCAAGTCACGCACACACCAGGGAAGCCTTCTGCTCAACGGCGTCTGCGCAGCGCGACTCAGAGGCGTGGCCCGGGGAAGGCGGGGCTCTTCTCAGGAAGTGCCTGGGTGGGTAGACGTCTTACCCGGAAGTGAGGGGACAGAGCGGCGGCGCTCGCGACAGGTCCCTGAGTATCCAGCTTTCTCGGGTGAGGCAGGCAAATCCCTAGCGTGGAGGGGCAGCGCGCCAGCGACACGTGGGGAGGCAGAGCGCGATGGGATCCACGCTGGAACTGGGGCCTCACCTGGGAACTACAATTCCCATAGTGCGCCACGCACTCCCAGCTAGCCCTCCTGCGCGCGATGGCGTAGTGCACGCTGGGATTTGTAGTTTTATATGGTCTCGTGCTTCCTACCTGGAAGGTGGGCCAGCGATTAGTACCAGCTAAGATACAGGTACACGCGGACAGCCTCGACTGGCACGTAGTGACTATTTCTGGTACTAGTGGTGCTGGTTTTGGTACTGTTCCTTCCCACCATAATTTCT